TTTTTGTTGTTGTTGTTGTTGTTGCTGTTGCTGTTGTCGTCGAAGTTAGGGTAGTTAAGTTAGTTAAGTTAGTCAAGTTAGTTGAGTTAATTAGTGTCTACCTTTTCGACATCTTCACGTCAAAAAAGGCTCAAAACCCTCAGTTTTTTTACACTTTTGACTTCGAAATGTGCTTCGCGCCACAACGGCGTGCACTTTTTCGACATTTTTTCGACATCTGAACCTCCAAAAGTGGTCCGAGACCGTCAGTTTTTAACACTTTTGACTTCGAAATGTGCTTCGCGCACAACGGCGTGCACTTTTTCGACATCTGAACTTCAAAAAGTGGTCCGAAGCTGAGGTGTTTTGTACATTTTGACTTGGAAATGTGCTTCGCGCCACAACGGCGTGCACTTTTTCAACATCTCAACTTCCAAAAGTGGTCCGACGCTGAGGTGTTTTGTACCTTTTCACTTCGAAATGTGCTTCGCGCCACAACGGCGTGCAATTTTTCATCTCTCCTCTGGCCAGCTGGCTCCGCACCCGCCGCTTTAGCGAGCCTACTTTTGGACCCTCCGGAGCCACAAATCATTGGAAAAACACAGTGTTTCGCGACTTTCCTACCTTTTCGCGCATCTGCATCTTCTGTCTTCTTACTCTTTCTCTTCTACTCTTCTTTCTTCTAATCTTTCTCTTCTCTCTGCCTCTGCCCTGCTCTGCTTTTCATCTGTCCATATTGTCGGAAGTTTGACTTCTAAACTTCCTTCGACTATCTTAAACTTTCCCAGAAACCATGTGCTTTGATTCAATATGATTCAATGGAACAAACCTTCGAGGATGAATGTTGACCACACAGCGAACACCCGGCGATCAAACACAGCAAAGGGTCATTTTCCTTTTCTCTGGGAAGTTCATTTCGGGATCTGTCAATACCTAGCATACCAAATGTTGGGAATTGAACATCGGCTTGCCAGCGATTTTTCATGCGAATGACAGGGGATTACAGGGGTACCGGCTTTTGACCCATGGCCATTTATTAAGTTTCATATTTCATACAATCCCGTATAATGTGGGTAAAACATGGTAAAACAATAATAAACAATCCCCCAAATCACCATAAATAGGTGGTATAAACCATTCCCAAATGGATGGTTTGTTATTGTTTTACCAACATTATATAATCCCAATAATGAACGGCTACCATTTGGGGATGATTTATAAGGTCTATACCACCCATTTCGCTCATTTGTACCAGGAATGGTGGCGTGGGAGTGGGTGACCGATAGTTTCTCACAGCGACACGCAGATGAGGCCTGGCCCTGTAGGCGAAGGCTGCGCGATCTGCGCGACGCCGTCGCTCTCCAAAGTGAGATCGTGTTAGTATTTCTTAGGGCGGGCCAGTACTTTTGAAGGACATCCTGCACCAAAAAGATTGATCGAGTGGAATGCTTGGTGTGAAGTATGGCTGATGCATCATGCATGTTCATTTTTTTTGGATTTTTTGGCACTTGGGATGGTTTTGGCTTCACACTCCGCGGTGCCGGTGTAGGCTGTCCTTTGGCCATAGGGAAAATGACATTGGCTGCGAAGAAAACCGACCACTTCTGCCTTGGTGCTGCACCACGAAACAGTTGATCAATTGACGTTTATGAGACTTTTAAAAGGGTGACACAGTGACACATAAACAGAAACGTCATACACCTGGATTTGCTCTCAAGCACATAATTATAGAATATGTTAATATTCATAATATATAATCAATATTAATCTATCGTATCATATGTATAGTGTATATATATATAGAGTGTATAAGTCCAGCAGGTAACACCAACTGTGGCGACCACATCTTTTCCGGGTCAAAGATTCCGGATTCGTGGCATCGACTCAGGGCACAGCGTTGCTGGAGAAGCCTGTCTTCTATGGGCGGCCCATCTTGAGGCGAGGCACACATAGGCTGCATAGGTTGCAGATATGGTACCTGTATGAAGTGATTCCTATAGGATCCATGTATGGTATATATGCTAACATTGGGGGTATATTGATGGTAAATGTTACCATATATAGCATACATGGATCCTATGGGATTGTAAAATATTGTAAACACGATCATATTTCATTTCGTCATTTATTTCTACATGTCTAAAAGAGAGTGCAAGTGTTTTCAAGATTTATTGGGGGATCATTAGGGAATCTAACATTGCGGATTGCAGTCCTAAACCTTAAGTTGCAGGACAAGTTTTTCTGACCGAGCTTGAGAGGTCCGAATTTTTTGATTCCCGGCAGATTTTAATGCGTGACGCACCAATAAAGAGCTCACTAGAAACTGACAAAAGTCATGGATTGACCACAAAAAGGTCCAACTGAAATTTTTGAAACCTTCCATTCCTACAATGTCTTCGTTTAATTTAGTGATATCCATATCATCACTTGTTTTCCCTTCAGACCCTACAGTGAACTACAAAACTTAGTGATGCCATTCCATGTATTCCATATGATTCCTTTAATGTTGATTCCTGGTGCCCTTGGAACGCACAAGTCTTTGACTCTGCCGACCTGGCGCGACGCCCGACCTGGCCCGCGATGTCGCTGACGGAGCCCATCACCGCGGCGGCCCTGGAGGCCTCGCCGGCACCGGACGGCGAGGCGAGTTTGCTCTCGGAGCACAGCGCCGACATCGCGCGCTTCCACGCGGCGGTGGCGCAGAACCGGCGCCTGCTGGGGGATCGGCCAGGGACAGGGACAGGGACGGCAGGCAGGGGTCGCCGTTTCGAAATGCTTTGGGGATGGATCAAATTACCATCAATGAGCTATTTCTTAGCTATTTCATACTATGAAATGCCATATTTAGGTTGGGATGAAGATGCTCAACTACCAGCTATTTCGGTATGAACACCATGGAGATTCCATAGGTTTTTGATCCATAGCCATTGAAAGCCCTGCAGGGCCCGGCGCCACGGCGCGCCCCAGCGCCAGCGCCGCGGAGTTTGCTGCGCCAGCGGAGCCGGTGACCCGCGGGCGACCGCCGAGCCCACCGAAGAGGCAGCCCTGGGAGGTGCCACGCAGCAGATCTGCAGATGCACCGGGACGTGGCTGGTGTCAAGAGTTCCCTTGGGGTGCCAGTGATACCAGAAACTTGGAACATAGCATTTTTCAGAGGTGAAGTGGGGATGAACCGGGATGCCTGGTTTTGGTTGGTTTTTAAGGGGTATCATCGCAATGATGTTGATTTATGTTGATTTCTCTTTATGTTTTCTTGATGGGTGCTTAGAAAGATGGTTTCCTAGTATGATGGTGGTTTGCCAAAGCTTGGATCCCAACAGATGACCATACATTTCAGGTCTGGCATGGCAGCTGGAAGCACATAAGTGGTAAGTAGGCCCAAACACATCAGCTTGTTTCCCGTTCCCAAATGTTCCAGAGCCTCGTGTTTGCCGGTTGATAACCCAATATAACCCATGTCTTGTAGCGTATAGCACATTCCCATTGTTATGTCTCGTGTGTCCTCGCGGTTTGTTCATGTATGCATTTCTACTGTTTTTGGTCATGCACCATTTCCTCTTGCTTCAAGGATCTTCAACCTTTCTGTTTGCAAGTTCTATCACCGCTCCTCATGACAACCACATTCTACTTGCTTGCATCCCCCAAGATCATCCATGATTTGGTTTGTGTTTATGTGTTGTGAAACCCCATTCAATCCTATGTTGTTCTTTTGCATCATTTCCCCCATCAAATTCTTGGGTGCTTCAATTCACCAGCTGCTATTAACCACCAATCTTTTGGTGAAAATTCATGAAAATTCACCATTTTTTCCCCAACTTCAACCCTCAACCCATCATTTTTGCTGGGTGAATCTGGTGAATCCATTGGTCGGTTCTCCATGGTGAACCCATCGCGCCCCCGTGGGGGCGGACCGCTCCACCCAGGAACGCTGATCCGCGAGGACCGGCGCCGATATCTGGAGCTCCAGCGGCGGAAGCTGAAGGACGAGCTGCAGGGCTTGGCCAAGGCAGAGCTGGTGGAGAAAATTCTGTGCCGCGACCAAAATGGAGGGCTGATATGGGTGGCAGTGCTGGGCATTTTGCCCATGGGAATCCCCTGGGGAACATCAAAATAGCTGGTATAATGATGATAAATGGGTATGGGTCAATACCTATAGATACATTACTATAGTGGGATGAACATCCATTTTAACCCAGTTATGACTTGGGGTTCACTAGGTACCAGGGTTTTGACCCATCCCCATATGCTGCCGGTGTGGCCTACACGGCTTTGGGGGGGATGAAGATCCATTGACAGATTAGATTAACAATGATTAACATAGATTCACCATTAAGCAGGGAATTGATGGGAATTGCGTTTGCCATGTGGGACTTCCAAATTCTGGCTTGCGGTTGAATCGGCGGCACATGTGAGTTGGCTTGCAGGTCAAAAAACATATTAACCATCATGGGTTACAACTAGTATTACCGTAATGGGACAGTCATGTGGGATTGATTATATGTTGATCATTGCATAATCATGGGGATACAACTAATCACCTTGATATCTAAAAATCCAAGGTGCACCAGCAAACAGACGGTTCAACAATCTAAAGTTGTGGAATATGGATTATATACCAGCAAAATTGGTGGATGTAACCAGCGAAAACCTTGGCTGAAGCTAGAGTTGAAGGAACACATGAGCAGTGTTCAAAATACGTACCCCTTTTGAATCCTTTTGACTGATTGATATTGGTTGCTTTTAGCCATAAAATTAAATATGGTGCTTTCATATGTTCTAATGGGGTTCTTACCATCAAAATTATGGGGCAACAAACCATTGACAAATGATGATTGATCGGTTATGAAGTACTGGGCTGGGAATACCTGGGTTATTCGGGAGCATTTTTGGAACCATAGTAGGAACACCTATTAACCAGCCAGTATATATACAATGGATTTCATTGCTCAAATGGGTGGTGAGCCAGAAATCATCAGAAATCCATATTTATTTAACCACAATATGTCGTTTAATTAAATGTTTGACTGAATGACGACTTAAATCCCTGATCCAATGTCCACGATGACTCATCAAGTACCCTATTTGATCGGATGTCCATGGTTCAAAGGTCAAGCTGTGGGCCCACCTGGATTTTCCAAAGCCATTTTGGAAGTTATAACCAGAGTTTCAAACTAGTTACATCCATTCATACTGGAAATCATTATGCCGCAGTTAAATGCATTTAATTGATGCCTTCAACTAAGAATAACTAGCCCGGGTTTGGTGGCTTTCTTTTTGCCCATTCTTGCCCCACTTAATTTACATCATGTGAGTTGAGTGCGCATTGAATCAATTGCCACAACTTAAATTTCCATCAATATCCCAGTAAGTAATATCATGATTATATCACCATTAAATCACCATTTTTCACAGTGGATGAGTGTGAGGCACTGGTGTTCCACCCTGGGAATTTGGAACCTCAACGACCTGGAACATGCGATGCAGCGCCGCGTGGATGCGACGCGGCCGAGGCCGCGGGACGAATGCGCGCGCTGCGGCACCAAACATCTCAAGGACCGACGAAGCTGACGAAGCTGACGACCGAAGACCCGAAGGTCACCATGGAATGATCATGTTGGATATAATGTCAACCCCGGATTAATAAACCATGGTTTATTAATTGGGGGGGTACTCCTCCAATAGTCATTATCTGATACTTAAATGGTACCCTCCCAATCAAATATGGGTATGGATCAATACCTATTATAATACCATTTTTAATGGGATGAACATCCATAAATCCCAGCTATTTTGATGTGAACAGAAGGGGTACTATTGGTTTTGACACACTGCCATATATTGGGAAAGGGGCATCATCCCCAAAAATTTAATATTTACTTTTTGCAAAATGATGCAACTTGGACACATCACAATCATTGTAAACAAATATGATGATTGATTACATCCCATATTTTTTCGGCATATTTCCATGATATTCCTGTTCTTCCTTGTTCGGTCGTTGGTGATTGGTCAACACTCCCCTTGGATATTAAAGGCCGACCAATAAACATGGTGAACACTTTTTTCCTGAAACATGTTCCATAATCATATAGTATCATATAGTGTTATGTTCACCAAATGTGTTCTAATATGTGAGTGTTATGGAGTGTTCATTATGGGTTTGTTTGAAACTAGTGTACTCCTAGAATCCATGGGATTAAATAAAAGTATCATCATTTTCCCTCTTTGAACTCGCAATTGGCAGGGGTTTACCCAATTTTCAGACACCCCAAAGGCAGCTTCCCCGGGAGGATGGGAACTTCTGCCGCCGCTGCGGACAACGCAGACAGACCACGTTGAGCTGCGTGAAGTGTGCAGCGGCGAAGGCGAAGGAACAACGAGAGGCTGGGCCTTGGTTACACTGCATGAGGGCTGGGTATGGTAGTGACTACTGTAGTTAATAATAAATAAATATCATAAATATAATTTAATTATAATATATTATAATATATTATAATTATATATCATATTAATATATATATGCACGTAATTTTGCGGTTGATATGGCATATTAATAGTATTTAATATGCAGTGATACCCAGTTAGTTCATTAAATTGTTGTTTTCTATATAACTTTGTCGTAAAATTGCATGACATGTTAAGGTACTCCCCCATGTTAAGAACAAAAACAAGTCAATGGCATCCCAAAGCATTGAACGGTTCAACCCAAAGTCGCAGGGTTCCAGGCATGATTTGACGAGATCAGATCCAAACTCCCTTTCGCGCCTGTGTTTTGTGCTCCTTTTACAACCTTTGCCGCAATGGATTATGAGTCATAACTGTGTCGATTCGACAGTTTGTCAACAATTTGTTGCCACTTCGGATCAACCAATGATTACTTCGTGGTGTGGAATCCCAGAACTTCCTTCTGGAAGGGAAGCATCAACAGGGCAGCCACTGGAATCAACAGGGGGTCATCCCACGATCCGAATCCCAGGTAGCCGAAATAGCCCTGAGCAGAGTGAGACTGGAGGAATTCGAGGCATTGTAAGCGCACCCAAAGCGGTGCGAACTGCATCAGGGCTGAACAATGATGGTGATGCAGTGGGTCATTTCACCTGAAAATTACCATGTATTTTTGTTTCAAATATCGAAGATGAGCGGAATATGGATTGGGATGTTGCGGTAGGAAATCCAAGAACAGAACTTATGAACAGAATGTGAATTTATATTAAACTAGACATGCACGTAGAAATAGTACACTTGCAGAAACTGACCAGATTGACCCACGTCCCAAATGCTGATGAAGCGGATGAGGATTTCTGGGCCCAGCAAGAGTACCAACACATTTTGAAATACGAGTTGCTAGTCATGATCAACAATGAATGGTAGATGATATGTCATTAATGTATTTGATATATTTGTAGTTTTTCTTTATAGTTTAACAGTTTAACACATATATATATATATAATAAATATATATAATAAATACATATGATATGTGTAATGTTTATAATGTATAATCATCATGTGTATTTTATGTTCCCGAGCACTGTCCGCAGCAGAGTTTGTTGGGGTCTCAGCGACATGATTCCTCAAAATCATTGTATTAATGACCCCCCTGAAAAATATAGAAAAGTAAACCCCACCGAAATAGTGCTAAAATACTTTAACCTATCTTTTTTGGGATTGCGAAAAAAATGCAACTGTGCTGGTCTCTGTTGTGCACCCTGCAATTGAATACTCGTGATGATCTCTGTATATTTGCTCGTTTTTCGAGGATCCGAATGTCGGCAGCATCCAAGGTTGTCATGCGTACAGGGTCACCGCTCAGAAATCCCCGTGTAGGGCGCGGAGTTGGGAAGCCAAAGCACAAGACTTGGACAATGTACAAAATGTGCGGCGGCACTGGGATTGTCAGCCGATGTCAAGGAAGAGTTTTGAGGTTCTCCATGAAGCTTGCCAAACATCACGCATTGTGACGTGGTTGAAGTGATGCTATGAACTAATAAGATGCGACATGACTCCTCTTGTGTAATTCAAGCAGTGGTTGCGGGTAGATTTTTCAATTTCTGGTGGTGGTATCACCATCATTAAAAGATATTAAAAGTATGGAAGTGTTTGTCATTCAGAATTGAACACAAACTAAGAGATGCAGTTGATCCTACTCGTACTTCCTTTGGGTGTGTCTACGAGGATGGTGGCCTGCTGTCGTTCCAGGATACCAGAATCATCCCTTCTACAAGCCGATGCAGACCTGCAGTCAGCAACACAGTGGTGGTTCAGCGGCCGGGGTAGATCTATCACTTTGTCAGTTTGGTGTGTTTGGTGACTGGATGTGACGGGGGGGGTATTTCCATAAGTTGTGTCATGGATTGTCCAGTTTTGTGATGCCATGGACAGGGTGTTGCTCCATTGGATGTTTTGTTGACATTTGAGGTGACATATGGTTTAACCAATTGCAGTTTCTTTCCAGAATTGCTCTGTTTGCTGTTGCTTACTGCACTGCCAAGCCACAGACATCCTAGTCATGGTGCAGAGAACAACCGGGGCTGGTTCGCATCACTTCATGGAATCAACAGCAACAAGTTAGGACATCAAAGTTAAAAGCCAGGCAGCAGACCCCAATTATGTATATATATATATGTATATTGTTATTGATCTTGCAAGAGCACAACAGAGAAACTTGTTGTTTCACACGAAACTCTCCATGTAGAGCCCCTCCTTTGGGTCAACCGATCCCGAGGCAGCGAGTGCAAAGTTACCTGTCAGAGCGTTGCTGACCCAGGGGATGGGACAAGGAGCGAGAGGAGCAGCTATCCTCGCCTGCCAGTTGATGGTCTCTAGATTTTACCAGTGTTACTTCCTTCGTCCTGCGAGCTCCAGATCTCAGTGGGCACTCAACCCTGCCGGACCTCAAGAGATCTCATGCAGTGGGCGCTGCCGGACCTACTGTATGCACTCTACACTCGACACTTCGCACTCCACACTACACTTCATACTCCACACTTTACACTTTACCCTCCAGACTCCACGCTCCACACTCTACACTTTACACCTTACACTCCACACTCTACACTACACTCCACACTCTACACTTTACATTTCACGATTTACACTTGGCACTCCACACTCTATACTTTGCACCTTACACTCCACACTCTACACTTTACACTTCACACTCCACACTCTACACTTTACACTTCACACCCCACACTTTACACTTTACATGTTTTACTTCACTTTGCACTTGACACTCCGCACTCTACACTTTCCTTTAGACTCCACACTCAGCACTTTACAGTCCACACTCTACACTTTACACGTTACACTCCAGAAAGAATGTCAGAATAGATGCCAGATAGAATGCCAGAAAAATGCCAGAAAGAATGTCAGAACAGATGCCAGATAGAATGCCAGAATGAATGCCAGATAGAATGTCAGAACAGATGCCAGATAGAATGCCAGAATGAATGCCAGATAGAATGCCAGAGAAAATGTCAGAATAGATGCCAGGTATAATGATAGAATAGAATGTCAGATAGAATGCCAGAATAGAATGTCAGAATAACAACTTCCAGATGAGAGAAACTATGACAAAATAATTTGTGACAGTGGGGATCACCCGAAGCAAAGTCATTTTCATTTTATTTAAGGTAAACGTTGGAAAACCCGTTTGTCCAAACCGGTGGATGTTCCACATTCCCATGTTTTTTCTTACCGGAGTCGGCCTTGGCGTTACATCAAGGGCCACATCCGGATGGCAACTGAGCAGATCCGATCGTAGCAGCTAGTCGGCATGAGCCTCCTCCCACAATTGATTAAAACCCATTAAAATGGATGATTTGGAGGGTTATAATGGAAAAATCCATTAACATGGATGAGGGGACAATCTTTGGTTTCCTGGAAATGTGAAAAAAAATCAACCCAAAAATCACGATGGACTCGCAAGGTCAATTGACTTTCGGAAGCTCAGATGGAGAGGCAGTGGGTTGAGAGAGGTGTCCATAGTACTCCTGGTTTGGATGGTTGAACATGGATGTAAACATGTTTGAATCTGAATTGTGCAAGGCCAGTTTTGGTTTATACTATAGCACGAATAAGTTCTGGTCAACTTGAAGGATGATTTATAGTTATGTTTCCCACAGCCCGGTTTTCACTTGGCCGCTTAGAGCGATTCCATGAGGCCGAGCAGATTCTGACTCTGGCCTTGGCTTTGCTGCAGCGAAGGAGGCCCTCAGATGCTGTGCAATCTGTGATTTGAAGTACTCTCTGGCCCCTGGTAATTAAGATTGATGAATGGTTATTAGTAATTTAAATCACAGATTATTAGTAATTACCAGTTAAATACCAACTAGATGAATGGTGTTTAATGGTTATTAGTTATTAGTTATTAGTAATTAGATTCTTGGACTAACAAACATGGCTAGCTCGAGAATCCCAACTAGTTTGATGACTTTCCCATTGAAAGATGCCCATTTAGTTTGAAAAAAAATCGAGCTAGCAATGGTTGATGACCAGAGAAACAACACAAATGGATTGGTGGCTGTGGATACATGTGTATACTGTGGCTATATCCCCAAATCTCCAGCAGATACTTTCCTGGAAAACAATCCGGTGACCAAGTTTGTCCAATAGTTATGCAAGATCCTCCAATAACAATAACAATTCACTATTGACATAACGAGGAAGAACAGTATCATCCAACAATGGTCGATGTAGCATTCCATGTGTTCAATATGTACCAACTGTATGTCGAATACGCTTCTATGTTTATTTTATTCCACATGTCATATTTCCATATATTTCCATTTATTTCCCAACATTGCGACAATTTTTCTAAAATGTGACCGCCACTATTCCACATACATATGTATACTGTATATAAATACATATATAAATTATATAATTATTTTTATAAATATATTCAGCGTCCATTTTCTGCGTTTTCCAATACATGGATACACACATTGATATATTCATTCATATCGCAAGAAGGTTGTGGACAATGTGTACAGCAAATGTCCAATCATATTCTACCCACGTTCCAGATTTTCCAACACCTATTCAATTCCAATACATGAACAGCAGCAAGTTTCCACTTTCATTCCAATCAAGACACCCAAACTGATGGTTGATAATTACGTATGTTCCCGCTCGAAATTGCCATTTATTGGGTATACAGAGTCCATTTTCAAACACACCCATATCATATCAGATTGGTTACGTATGTCCTATTATTTGCATAAATTAAAATATCATTCACCGAACTAAGACCTCACACTTCTCATGCTGCCCACCACCCGGTAGAGCAGAACCGAACATTTTGGCCATTTTGGGGACGATTCCCCCAATCCGAATCATTTGCTGTCCTGGTTGCCTTCGGAAGCTTAAGCTGGCTATGTTCCGACATGTTCCAACAATGTCCCATTAGTATCCATTAATGTCCCCATGAAGTATTTCCCAAGTAATATCCCATGAATATCCCCAGAAAAGTTTCCCATTCATATCCCCATGAATTCGCCAATAATCAATTTCCCATTAAACATATTAAATTAAATCCATTTATAATGGGAATCATCGGGATGTTTAACATTAAATGGATGTTTTTTGATTCAGCTCCCATTAACATCCATTACACAATTTCCATTTAATGGTTTAACACCCATTAAACCTTTAACACCCATTCACATCCCATTATCCCATTATTATCCACTAACATCCCATTATACTCTCTGGTTGTTTAACATATATAGCTATGGAAAATGGCTCATTCATAGATGATTTATGATGATTTACCTATTAAGAATGGTGACTTGCCATGGCAAACGGTTAAATTACTAGATGGGATCTATTGATATCTTATAACATGCCTTGTCAGAATTTCTGAGCTCAAAAAATGTCATCACATTATATTATTCCATTATGGTGGATTCAGAACTTTTTGTAATTTCCGCTTCTTGTCCAGGCAGCCAGATGCAGATGAGACTTCCTTCATCACTGCAGTGGCAGAGGAGGAGCCGCCCCTAGCTCTGCAGTTGACGGAGAGGTGCCAAGCGGCCAACGGTGGAAGTGGGTTCTAAGGTCTTTGGAATATCTGTTAAACAATGACATCTAGACTCATATCTA